CTGTAATCCTGGCTACTCGGGAGGTTGAGGCAGGAGAATCACTTGAACTCAGGAGGCAGAGGTTGCAGTGAGCCGAGACTGTGCCACTGCGCTCCAGCCTGGGTGATAGAGCAAAACACTATGTTTCCAAAGAAAAAAAAAAAAAGACTTGCAAATGAGTCCACACAGGAGCCTGTTTTTAAAGCACAAGGTCACCCCACAGAGTCACCTGTTGGTCACTGGAGTCCCTCTTCTTCCCTCTCAGCATATGACATGAACTGCCTGGTGCTGTGCTGGGGTCTCTGGGAGGTCCCACACCCCAGCTCCCCTGCTCACCTACTGGAGGGTTGGGGAGGGCTGGGATAGTTCAGGCTGGGGTGCCCAGGCCCTGGGCACATTGCAGGACTGTTCTTTGGAGAAGGGATACTGTGTGAGGTCATAGGGAGAGGTTCAAATCTTCTGGGGAATAGACTGGGAGGCTCTTGGCTCTGTGGGGTCCTAGAAGCAGAACTAAGGCCTGTGGCTGGCCGTTTCCGGGAGGGAGGTTTTAGCAGCATGGGGAAGACCTTTCTAAGAGTCCAGGAAGGAGTGTCCAGAGGGACGGTGGCCCTTTCCGTGTGCGCTGCACTTTACAGTGTAGAGTGCTGTCTAACTTGCATCAGCATCTTTGCTCTCCACCCCATGGCTGTGAAGTGGGGCGGGGACAAGTCCTCCTGTAGGATCCCCTGCAGTGCCGAGCTTCAGGCAACCCACATCTTCGGACTCTGCTGCTTTGGGCTAAATTCAGGTTGCAGGTTGTGTTGTGGCCCACACAGTATTTTATCCTATTTAATTTAATATTCATTTTCATTTTATTTTGAAGCAGGACCTCATGCTGTTGCCCAGGCTGGAGTACAGTGGTGCAATAATGGCTCACTGCAGCCTTGAGCTCCTGGGCTCAAGTGAGCCTCCTGCCTCAGCTTCTCGAGTAGCTGAGACTACAAGTATGAGCGACCACATCCAGCTAATTAATTTTTTTTTTTGTAGAGATGGGGTCTCACTATGTTGCCCAGTCTGGTCTCAAACTCCTGGGATCAAGTGATCCTCCTGCCTCAGCCTCCCAAAGTGTTAGGATTACAGGCATGAACCACTGTGCCTGGCCCACACTGTATTTTTAAGAACATGGCAGTAGTTGCCAACATTTAAAAATTGGGAGGGATCGTATAAAATTCAGACTTGTGGGTCTCCTTGGAGGGTAGGAAGAGCTGGCTCACTGGCCCACCTTCCCACGCAGCACCAGCCCCCTAAGTGACAGGTGACCTCTTCCCCTTGGTCCTCACCCACCTTTCCCACTGATGTTACCTACTGGCCTCTAAGGCATCTGAGTTCACTTTACCTACTCCTGAAGGATTGGGCTGGGGAAGATGAGATGGGCAGGGGACAGCGCCCTCTCCTCGGGATGTCCCCATTCACATGGCTCAGGTTGGGCATGAGGGGCAGGGTCACTCTCCACCCCCTGGTTCCAGGCAGGACTAACTCAGCCATCCCCTACACAAGCCTCAAGTTTGGAATGTCTCGGGAGAAAAAGCCTTCAGCCCCGCTGAAGCCATGGCCACCCGTGCTGGCCTTTGTGCTCAGGAATCTTCTCCTCTCCCCACCTTCAGCTCCCTTTTTGGTGACCAAGAGGCTTTCTCTTGCTTTGCCTCATACACCCCTGCAGCCGCAGTGGGGAGAGGCCTCTTGGGAGGAGGAAATCAATTCTGTAGTGCTTGGAAACAGCCATTCTGCCCTCTCCTGTTCTGTGAGGTGGGCCCTGGCTGTTTGATGTTGGGCAAAGGACTGGAGGCTCTAAGCTTCCGTTTCTCCATTTGCCAGGTAAGGGTGGGTTGGACCGTGTGAGATGTTAGGAAGAGTGTGGTGGGGCCTGCACCCTGGGCTTCCCTTCCAGGGCCCTCCCTGGACAGTCCTGGCCAGTTCTGTGACCTGTTCAGTGATGTCCCTATCACCAACACCCAGGGAGAAGCAGAAACGAAACTGGGTGTAACCCGAAACGGAACCATGCCAGCTGTTTCAAAATAGCCTACGCAGGAGCCTCCAAAGGGGACGTTTGTGCAACATCCTGGTTTTCTTTTTCTTTTTCTTGGTTTTCATCTGCCAAAGGGGCAGGGGCTGACTGCCAGAGCCCAGGGGACTTTCCTCTTCCAAGTTCTGGGTCTTGGCACATTGGTCAGCCCTTGGGGTGGGGAGCCCTGCTGTCTTCAGGGTCCAAGTAGTGCTCTCTTGAGTTGGCATTTGGTTTGCTTGTGGAAATAGTGAGGCGGAGCCTGGCCTTAGCAGCCATGGAGGACCCTGAGTTCTGCATGTTAGGAGTGACGGGGCCTCCCCTGGCTCCTGTCACACTATGCACGAGCTGCTCAATGCAGGGAACGGTGAAGATGGCCTGCTCTGTCCTGTGCTGTCAATCAACAGCAGGCGGGTCTCAGCAGGTCACTTTACCCCTGGAATCTCGGTTTCCTCACCTGGGCAATGGGGAGGGCCTCAAGGACTGCTGAGCTGATTCAATGAGATGTGGAATATTGAGTGCCGTCCTCAGTGCCTGGCACACACTGGGCATTTGGTCCCACTGGGACTTTTGGTTGTGTGTTGACTTGAGAGAGATGATGCTTTGGAGAACAACAGCAGTCTCTCCCGGGGAGGCTCGGGGTGGTCTGTCCTTTTCTCTCCCGGGGAGGCTCGGGGTGGTCTGTCCTTTTCTCTCCTGGGGATGCTCGGGGGTGATCTGTCTTTTTCTCTGGAGAGGCTCGGGGTGATCTGTCCTTTTCTGTCCCAGGAAGGCTCAGGGTGATCTGTCCTTTTCTCTCCTGGGGATGCCTGGGGGTGATCTGTCTTTTTCTCTCCCGGGGAGGCTTGGGGTGATCTGTCCTTTTCCCAGACAGGATGGGGAAGGAAGGGGAGCGTAATGGTTGTCGTCAGAGTCACGGGTTTTGGGAATGAATTTTGCTGAATATCTTCCCTCCCCCCCAAAAAAAAATCCCCGTTAGAAAAAAGACGTTTTCCCAGGGGGTCCCTGGGTGAGTTAGTGGCCCTGACACCAGCAGGGGGTCTTGACATCCAGCCTGAGGTTGCCAAGTGCCTGCTCCGATTCCTGGGGTGTGAAAGTCTTTGTCCTCAGAAGGTGGTGTTATAGACTGGCAGGTCTGTTCCAACTCTGTCATGAGGCTACCTAAGAGGCGAGACAAGCCAAGGCTTTCAACAGGTTGGGGTGCAGGCTGGGGTCCCCTGCACAAGGCCACGCCTGCTCCACCAGAAAGACTGTCACAGACAGGAGCTGTCTATGGAGCACACATACAGGGCTGGCCTCTCAGGCCATGGCCCGTGCCATCACACGTGACCCGTGCCATCACACGTGACCTGTGCCTTCACGTGTGACCCTTGCCATCACACGGGACCTGTGCCATCACACACGGCTGGTGCCCAGAAGGGCGCCATGCTTGCTTTCATGTTCTGTTATGGCCATCTTGAAATTCATAGTCACTTTGAACAAGAGCCTATGTTTTCATTTTGCACTGGACCCCAAGAATCGTGTAGCCAGACCTGGTCACATGTTCATTACCTTGTGTAATCTGAGCAGTAGAGGTAATTGCCCCCACTTCGTAGCTGAGTAAACTGAGGCTTGGACATGCGAAGTGACCTGCCCGAGGGCTTCACAGCAGGAGTGGGGACGGGGGCAGAGCTACCTCTGTAACTCCAGAGCTGTGTCCTTGGCAGTGGCAATCAAGCAGAATCCCTACAGAGAGGGGCTGGCAATGGCTGGCTCATCTGAGAAGGGGGCACTGGCTGCTGGGCCCACACGGGTGCTGGTGAATGCTCAGACTCCCCAAGGCCTCCCCAGAAAGTAGACCCCAGCGTGTGGTCCTCTGGTCTTCCTCCCCAGTGCATCTTGTCACCCAGGGATGGAAGGAGTAGCTCCACCTCCTCCGCCTCTCCCAGGCTCAGTCTCCCTTTCTGCACCATGGGAGGATTCTGGGTCTGTGGCGTGGTAAAGCCGCCGGGCCACGATGCTGATGCTGACCTTCCCTGCCCCTCCCCCAGCTGTTGACCTCGGGCCAGCGGCAGCTGCTCCTGTGTGAGACGTTGACGGAGACCGTGTACGGTGACCGTGGGCAGCTAATTAAGTCCAAGGAGCGTCGGGTCTTCCTGCTCAATGACATGCTTGTCTGCGCCAACATCAACTTCAAGTAAGTGAGCCTGGGTTGGAGGGGGCAAGCACCCCTTCCTAGATGCTCCGTCCCGCCCTACTCCAGTCTCTCTGCCGCCCACTGCAGTGGGACCCCACATGAGCTTGGTTTAGATTTCCAATATTCCTCTCCATCCCTCTCGGCCTGCTCTGCCGCTGGTCCCCAATGCTGGGAAGTACCTGGAGCAGTCATCGGGGGCAGCCCTCAGCCTTGGGCACACAGTTGTCCATGGTACAGAGTTGTCTGTTCTGGAACTCTGCAGTTGGTGACTAAACAGTGGTTTTGTCCACACTGAAATTCATGAGATTCTTCCTTGTGTCTACCCCATATCCCTGTGGCTTTAACTCAAATCTGTTTTGCTCTGGCCAGATCGCAGAATTTCTCAATGTGAGCCTTTGCCTTTCCCCCACAGACCAGAGCATCGTCATCAGCCCAGAGGAGCCTGGTTTCCTGGTTCTGGGCCAGGGGTTGTGGAAATGCCCAGAGCCCGGCTGCTGGGCTGTGCCTGGGAGCCGGAGCCCTGGTGCAGGGTGAGGGCGAGGCTTTAGGCCGGAGCCTGAAGATGTGGCCCGTCAGTTGCTTTAGGCTTCTGGGTATCTTATGTTTTACTCACACAGGGAGCCCAAACCATGGGTGAGACATAGGAGAGATCCAACATTCTGGGGCCTGGCTGCCCGAGGCCGCGTGGGCCTGGTGCTGGGTCTTGGGCCCTGCTGTTCTCCAGCCTTCCTGCCCTGCCCGGCTCACCTGCTCGTGTCCCCTGCTTGGTCCTGCGGGGGACCCTCTATCAAATGCTCCCTGAGAACTTCAGCAGTGGTTTTTCTAGCCAGGCTCTTAGGAGAATCTCTGCTCTCAATATTTGACAAGACTTTTATTTTATTTTTATTATTATTTTTTTATTTTATTGTTTTTTTGAGATGGAGTCTTGCTCTGTCTCCCAGGCTGGAGTGCAATGGCACGATCTCAGTTCACTGCAACCTCCGCCTCCCGGGTTTAAGCGATTCTCCTGCCTCAGCCTCCCAAGTAGCTGGGATTGTAGGCACCCGCCACCACACCTAGCTTTTTTTTTGTTTTTGTTTTTTTATTAGAGACGGAGTTTCACCATGTTGGCCAGGCTAGTCTCAAACTCCTGACCTCAGGTGATTGGCCTGCCTCGGCCTCCCAAAGTGCTGGGATTACAGGCGTGAGCCACTGTGCCCCACCTTGACACCACTTTAAAAAAGCATCACCGAAGCAATAGTATGGCCACAATCACCGAAATCTAGGAGGGAAACAATCACCTCGGTAGAATGTGAATCCCAGCATAGCTCTCCCTCCTCCCAGCTGAATCAGTTCTAGGCTCTGGACTGAGTCAGCTTGGGCCTTCCTGGGTTTGGCCAGAGTAGGTTTGGGGATTTTCTGTGGTTACCGATCACGAGTCCTGAAAGGGGACAAACAGGGCTGTTTCAGGACCTGCGCACTCATTCACCATCCACCCATTTGTCCACCCGTCTATGAATCTATTGAATGTAGACCGAGACCTGGCCCCCGCCTCCAGGAGCTCAGGGCCTGGTTACGGACTCAGGCAAGGAAGCCTCTGTCACAGATGGGTCTGGGCAGGGCTTGTGGCTGACCCATTCGTTCATTTACTCACTCACTCAATCAAAGATGGTAATTCTTCAGTCCCATTTATATCCTGGACATCATACGGTGCTGGTGGTATGATGAATACCCTCTCTGCCTTCATGTTGTTCTAGCGCAAAGTGCAAAGTGGAGTGCTAGTGGCCCAGTTTTGGGGAATCAGTTTGGGTGATTTGAGCTGAGTCACTTCACTTGGCTGAGAATCAGTGTCCTTGTCTGGGATCATCCAAGCTTCCTAGCGGGGCTGTTGTGAGACCTAGAGATGAAGGAAGGCCCGCCTCTGTCCACACCTGGCCTCTGATGCCCTCACTCCCCGCAGGAGGCTGTCTGTCCTTCCAGCCCCATGGCCGGCCCCCCATGGGGTCACAGGCCCCAGGTTAGCCACTCCTTTGTAATAACAACCTCCCTTTCCTTCTTGTCTGTTTTCCCAGGCCGGCCAACCACAGGTACGCGGTTCAGGGGGCTCCGGGGCTCTGGGGCTCTGGTGGCATGTGGTTCTGGACATGGGGCTGGGCCCTGGGTGCCTGGTGCTTCTACCCTGGTGAGGGCTCCCTGCTCTGCCTGGCTTGGTTTTGGCCTGAGGTCTTGCGCTGGGGCTGCGTGAAGCCTGGCTGAGCTGGTGTGGAGGAGCATTGCCCTGGGCCAGCCCTGGGGCGGGGTGGCTGTGGCCTCTCCAGGGCCTCGTCCTCTCTGTCCCGACAGGGGCCAGCTGGAGATCAGCAGCCTGGTGCCCCTGGGGCCCAAGTACGTGGTGAAGTGGAACACGGCGCTGCCCCAGGTGCAGGTGGTGGAGGTGGGCCAGGACGGTGGCACCTATGACAAGGACAATGTGCTCATCCAGCACGCAGGCGCCAAGAAGGCCTCCACCTCAGGGCAGGCCCAGAGTGAGTACCCCCTCTCTGTGCCCTGCATGCATCACCCTCGCCCTCACCAGCCACAGCCTGGGCTGCTCCTACCCAGGCTTGGCCCCGTCTTGGGGACTCCTACACAGGCTGATGGGTGGCTTGGCCGGGAAGCTCTTGCTGGTTTTGCAGCCCCACCCTGGACCGAAATGCAGAGCTACGGCCTCACCTGGGTGTGCGCAGGTACATCTCCCAATCCATGCACTTCGCTCCGTCTCCACATTGGGTGCCACACGCCCAGTCCTGCTGTGGCAGCTACCTGGCTGCTCTCCTTCCTTCCTTCTACCTGTGCCCCCTCCCTGTCCATCCTCTGCGTGTCCCCAGGGCTGATTCTTCAAAACGCAGGTCAGATCAGTGCGTGTCATCCTTCCCTAGTGGCTTCCCATTGCCGGTCCTGGGGGCACCCCACCTGCCTCACTCACCTCCCTCTGCCCCTTCTCTCTGCTGCAGCCATGCCAGCCTCTCTGGGCTCCTGGATGGGCCACGCTCCCTCCCACCATGCCCTCTCCAGCCTGTGCCTTTTGCCAAGTACTCTTCTGCCATCCTGTTTTTGTCTCATCTATGCTTGGCTCAAATGGCATTTCCTCAGAGAAGCCTTTTCTTATGCCCTCATGCTGAGCCAGGTTGCCCCTCCTGTGCTCTCGAGACCTCTGGTGCATTTTCCCCTTTATGAGTGATTGAACGGTTGATGTCTCTCCTCTCAGCCTGGCTGCAGCCTTGTCCGGGAACCCAGGGCACGATGGGCGTTAATAGGTGTTCCTTGAATGCATGCAGGATGCTAAATTGCAGGGCTAGCAGAAAGGAACCCTGTGCCCAGAGTCATCTTCCATGGGTGAGAAAGGCACTGGGGTTTCACTTCCCCCTCTGTCTACTGTCTGACCCAGGAGGTTGCCTCATGGGCCGCTCACAATTCTGGAAATTCTGAGGGAGCGATTGCACCACCTACTCTTGCCGTCTGGGTGCTGGTCTGGGACAGCTGTGCCCACTTCCAGATGCTGTCTCTTTCCGCAGCTCTGCTGGGTAGGAAGAGTCCTCTGGCCCACGTGCCTTCCTCAGAGGCACCTTCTGCGCTGGCTCGACCGCACTCTCCCTCGCCGCCGCTTGGGGCACAGGGTTCCTTTCTGCTGGCCGCGGGGTCTAGCATCCTTCATGCACTCCAGGGTTGCTTAGGGGATCCCTTCTTCAGTGACAATGACGTGTCTGTAGCCGCATTCCTCAAACCAGAGTCACGTACTGCCAGACCCCTTCTAAAGGGGAAAGAAGTTCTTGTGGAACCCTTCATTATATTGTATTCAAATATATACAAATACAAACCCCCCTGTAATCAACGCCTTCTGCTTATAGCCCTTGAAGAACCATAAAACCAAAACCAAATCACAAATTGAATAAAAATAAAGCTACAAAACCATAACATTCCAATTAACAGCATTAATGTAACTTGATGGATGATGTTGTTTTGCTGAAACAAATTTGCTCACAATGTGGATGTGGCGCAGGCCCTGGTGGAGCAGGTGCCTCTGCGTTTTCGTGCCTGTGCCACAGGGTGCCCTTTGGGGATCTGCATTTCCCATGAGCTCCCCAGTTTGGGTTACTGCAGAGCCCCTCTGATGTGAGCGCATTGTCCACATCCCAAGCTCGCCACGCTCTTTGCTTGTTGCCCGGTGACCATTCAGGTGCCACAGTCCGTGGAAGCCTTGATACCAGGCAGCAGAGTGTGGCTTTAAACTCATTCCACACAGGTGACTCAGGATACGCACCTGTTTTTCAGATCATTGTCTCAATGAAAACCCCCATTAAGGCTTCCCCTCCATTCCCCTGGGGCTTCGTAAGACCTCAGTGTGCAAAACCATGGCCTAGAGAATACAGTCCAGATTCCTAGCCCGGTGTTCAAAGCCTTCCCATCTGGTCCTCCTGGACCCTCCTGCTCTATCTCTAGCTGCCGCCCCGTACCCCCATCTCATCCTTACTCCATCTGTATCATCACTGGGGATCTGGGCCCACTCACCCCATGACTGTCCCACCACGCTGATATTTCTCCCCACCACCTCCTGCCACCCACCTTCGTTAACTGACCGCTTCTTCCACCACTCGTCCTGCCCAGGTCATAAGCTCTGGAAGAGTGGGGACCCTGTCTGTCTTGTGTACTGCTGTCTCCAGTCTCTAGCATGGAATCTGGCACACGATAGGTCCTCAGGATGTCTTTGAACAACTTGCTGTTCACGGGGTGCTTCAAGCCACAGTGCCTTTGCACATGCTCTTGTCTTTCTCTCCCGGCAGTGCCCACCACACTTCCAGCCCCATGCAGGCCCCTCCCTGCTCCCAGGCACAGCTTGCTCTTGGTCTTGTGGTCTCAAACAGCCCTTTGTACGGACTGACTGTGGCCTGGATCTCAGGTGTTAGGCTTCACCCTTGAAAGGATCTGGCTTCCCAGCTAGTCTGGGCGCTCTGGGCAGGGTAGGAACTGGATAATGTTACTTTCTGGATCTTTTTTGTTGTGAGCAGATGCTTGGCTTCTTGTTAACGCCTTCTTCACCTGAGCCCGAGTTGGTCTCTTCTCTGCCCAGATAAGGTGTACCTCGGCCCCCCACGACTCTTCCAGGAGCTGCAGGACCTGCAGAAAGACCTGGCTGTGGTGGAGCAGATCACGCTTCTCATCAGCACGCTGCACGGCACCTACCAGGTACGTGGCCTGGCCTGGCCTTTTTGGCCTGAGCTCCCTGGTGTGGGCAGTGCCTGGATTCAGAAAGCTCAGTAGGGAGGGGCTCCTCTCCTGGCCCATGCCCACCATGCACTTCTGGCTTCTGAGCTCCCGTAGGCAACCATCGCTGCTGAAGCTCTGTGTCCCTGCCTGGAAGTCTGTTGTGCGGCCCCTGGTTCGGATACACCCTCTGGTTTGGGTTGAGCAGAGCCTGGCTGTGGGGTCTTCGTTTGTTCTCTGCACAGTGGCCATTCCATCATGTGGCCCCTCCTGGGCCTCTGCCCAGTCTGGAAGGGAAGTGGCTGCGACGGCATGTCCCTCTCAGAGGAGGGCTGCCAGGTGGGATCTGAGTCCAGGGCTGGGAAGCCTGGGGCATGGCGAGTTGGCTTCCTGCTTGGGGCTAAATGTGCAGCCTCAGTGAGGCTCCAGGACTTCTTCAGTTCCCTTCCTCTGGGGTGCTGTGATTCCTATAGGATCTGGGGTGGCTTTTGGGGAACCAGTGGGCTGTGTGGTAACCTCATTCACCTCCTGAACCCTAGAACCTGAACATGACCGTGGCTCAAGACTGGTGCCTGGCCCTGCAGAGGCTGATGCGGGTGAAGGAGGAAGAGATCCACTCGGCCAACAAATGCCGTCTCAGGCTCCTGCTTCCTGGGAAACCTGACAAGTGAGAGGAGGGGGTCTTGGAAGGAGGGCTGCTGCCTCTGCTGGGCTTCCAGTGGAGCAGGGGATCCGGAGAGGGTAGCTGGAGCCCTCTTATTTGTCAAGATAACATGGTGGGAGTGGATATGTAGGCATCGTGGGCAGTGTCTGGGATAGCACCTGGCACGCAGTAGGTGCTCATGGAAAGACTGTGGAATGAATGAATGAATGGTCATATCCTGGATAAGCCTGGCTCACTGTTAGGATACTCAGACACTCTGCCATTGGTCAGTTCCATTGCGATATGTCCTTTTCAGTCACATCAGCCTATCTAGGCCCCCAGGCCAGGCCCTGGGTTTCCTCTCTCTGGACCCAGCCTCCCCGCAGCACTACCTTACCCCCAAAATGCCCACCACAGAAGCTGTGCACAGTAGACCCCAACTGAGGTTTGTGGAACTGATGATAGACGTAGCTGTTTGGCCCGGCAGAGACAGGGGAAGGTATCTTTCTGGTCCTCCTGAGGCTTTGTAAGTTGGGTCTTTTTATTTCCACTTTACAGATGAGGAAGGTGAGGCTCAGAGTTACAGGAGAGGCTGAAGGCCACATTGTGAGAGGCAGAGCTGGGTCCTGATGGGGTCTGACTCTGAAGCTGAGGCCAGTGCAGTGAGGGGCTCAATGCCCAGGTTTTGGCTTCCAGGGTGGGGTGAAGGTAGGGATAGAGTGTCACAAGCACAGTGGCTGCAAGGAAGAGAAGGTTGGAGCACTATCATTTGAGGCAGGACCATGGGCTTGGTGCCCCAGGGAACCATGTGCAGGAGTCAGCAGCTTTGAATCTACCGCCTCTCTGCCGAGTGGCCTGCCCATCTCCCTTCTTCCGTCTCCCTTCTCTCTGCCTCCCATTCTCCACGCACACCCTAGAGGCTTGTGGCACTGCCCTGCCCACCTCCCAAAGGGCTGGGAAGGCCCCCACTGCTCCGAGGTGAGAGGACAGTATAGGGACAACAGCAACCTCTGGTTGCCCCAAGCTGGTGCTTAACCTGATTCATTCATTTCTTCATTCATTCATGTGTCCACTCAGCAAACATTTACTGAGCAACTGCCCCATGCCAGGTGCTTGGAACAGACCCAAGTGAGACCCATTCCTCCCTCTAGAGGCACGTGGTCAGACACGTAAGGTGTCTAAGGCCTGTGGACAGCTGACCGCTGACTAGGTGGAGTCGCAGCCTGCAGAGGCTCTGCCGGGCACAAAGCCAGAGGCTCCTGGAGCCAGGCTGGGGAGCGTGGCTCGGCCACTCTGGCCAGGTACCTCCCTCTGGGGGCCATTGTGGGTGAAGGGATTCCTCCTCCAGGGGACTGAGGCTTTGCCAGGCCACTAACCTCTTTGGCCACGTTTTGGGGATGCTCTGACCAGACCTCCCCAATCTCCAGGGCACGTGGGTTGGAGGAAGTACTACGTGACAGCTGGGGGAGCCTAGCCCTTGTGTGGGTACTCACACATCCACCCTCACCCTTCTCACCGCAGGTCCGGCCGCCCCATCAGCTTCATGGTGGTTTTCATCACCCCCAACCCCCTGAGCAAGATTTCCTGGGTCAACAGGTTACATTTGGCCAAACTCGGACTCCGTGAGTATAGCCCCAGGGAGAGTGCCTCAGGGGGCAGGGGTGCGGAGAGGGGAGGTTTGGGGTGTGTGAGGGTACAGGATGGGTGTTCAGGGTCTGTTGGGGGCAGGGAGGCTTCTGAGTGGGAGGGAGGCGGTGTGGTGGAGAAACAGCTGGGGCCGGAGCCGGAGCCCTGAGGCTCTGCTCTGTGACCCTGGATAAGTCACTTCCCCTCTCTGAGCCTCAGCTTCCCCAACTAGGAATTGATGGAACTTGACAGAAAGTAAATTAGTGGTTGCCAGGGACCTGGGAGGAGAGGGTAATGGAGAGTGACTGCTAAGGGTTTTTTGGTGGAGGTGATGAAATGTTCTAAAATTAGATGGTGGTGATTTCTTAACTCTGTGACTACACCAAAAATCAGTGACGTGTGCACTTCAAAAGGGTGCATTTTATGGTAACTGAATTATATCTCAATAAAAATGATACCTGGAAAAATGATGCAGGTTGGACTATACTGATTCTCAAAGACCAAAGACCTCACTACTATGCTTTTCTTCCGGTGCACCCCATGATACGAATACAGATACATAAATGGATATTTATGTGCACTTTTCTGAGTATTTTATGTGCATCTTTTTCATTTCACATTCACAATAGCCCTAAGAGTTAGGTCTGTTGAGAATCTCTTTTCCATTGAGGATTCTGAGGCCCAGAGAGGTGCAGGGACTTGCCTGAGGTCACACAGCAGGAAGGGGCAGATCTGGGCTGCAGACCCTGGGCGGCCTGCCTCCAAAGCCCAGTCTCGATCCCTGTCCGTTCTGCTTCCTCGGCTTGGCAAGAGTCTGTCTGCAGACTGCGTTCATTAAGTTGTAATTACTTTACTTGTCCATTTTTTGAGTTGATGAGAGGCTCATGTACCCTCCAGACAGAGCTATTATTCCCTATGATGTACCATAGTTCCCATTTGCCGATGCCAGCCAATAGCAGGGACATTTTTTTTGATTTTGTTTCTGGTATGATCTTTCTATAGAGAAGCACACATTTCCAACAGGTTTTAAAACATTTACAGAAGGCCGGGCACAGTGGCTCACGCCTGTAATCCCAGCACTTTGGGAGGCTGAGGCAGGTGGATCACGAGGTCAGGAGATCGAGACATGCTTGCTAACACGGTGAAACCCTGTTTCTACTAAAAATGCAAAAAATGAGCCTGGCACACGCCTGTAGTCCCAGCTACTTGGGAGACCAAAGCAGGAGAATTGCTCGAATCTGGGAGTTCGAGTTTGCAGTGAGCCGAGATCACGCCACTGCACTCCAGTCTGGGTAACAGCGCCAGACTCCATCTCAAAAACAAAACAAAACAAAACAAAACAAAACAAAACAAAACAAAAACATTTCTGGAAAGAAGTCAGGACCTTTGGCTGGGCGCAGTGGCTCACGCCTGTAATCCTAGCACTTTGGGAGGCCGAAGTGGGCAGATCACCTGAGGTCAGGAATTCGAGACGAGCCTGGCCAACATGGTGAAATCCCGTCTCTACTAAAAATACAAAAAAATTAGCCAGGCGTGGTGGCATATGTCTGTAGTCCCAGCTACTCGGGAGGTTGGGCAGGAAAATCACTTGAACCCAGGAGGCGGAGGTTGCAGTGAGCCAACGTCGTGCCACTGTACTCCAGCCTGAGCAATAGAGTGCGACTCCATCTCACACACACAAAAAAAGAGGACCTTTGTCACTGGTTTTCATTAATTGAAAAATACTATTGAGACTCTACATAATTTTGGGCATGGGGGAAAGAATAATGACAAAAGCAGAGAGATCTCTGCTCTCAAGGAACTTAAATTTATGAGGGGCAGGAAGGAGGACATTAAATGGGGAGCAAATCTGCAAGCAGGAGTTATGCTGTGCAGGGCATAGAGCTGGCCTGGGGCTGCCATGTGGGGGACCCGGAGGCAGGGACCTCAGAAGCTGCACAAAGATCTGGGCGGAGTGATCCAGGCATGGGGACGGCAAGTGCAAAGGCCCTGAGGTAGGGACAAAAGGAAGCCCAGAGTGGCCAGCACTGGCAGATGAAGGGGAGGGAAGTAGGTGGGTGGGTATGTTGTGGGCAGGTTTTCTGGGAAGCCAGGGAGAGCCGTATGGGATTTGTTCTGGGCATGATGGGAAGCTGTGCATTATAGCATTGAGAGCTGAATAATGTCGTGATCTGATTTTCATTTAAGTGGGTCATTCTGGCTGCTGTGGGGAGAGGGCATGGGAGAGGCAGGTGTGGAGGTAGGGGAAGGAATGGGGAGGGGTTGCCTGTGGGCGAATCCGGACTAGAGGCTTCTACTCAGCCCATCCCTTCTTGGATCCAGTGCTGATATTGCTCTGGCCTCAGCTGGATGTTTCTGGGTGACAGAAAGGCCTTTGGAGTGTGCAGAAAGGGTTTTAAGCAGAAGCTGCCCTGTCCCTGGCAGAAGACTTTGGGAATCCTCGCCCTCAGAAAGGCTAACGTGGCTTCCCTGCCCCTTGGACCATGCGCTCCCCTTCCCACCCCATCACTTCCATCCTGGGAAGTGCCCAAGCCCCATGTGTACACCTGCTTTAAAGGCAGATGAATCTCCTGTTTGAACCACATGTGCTTTGCTGTATGGAGCTTGGTGCTGGAGGGATGGGAGATGGCGATTCAGGCAGCCCCAGCTCTCCGCAGCCTGTGAAGACGCTGGGCTGCCTTATCTCCACACAGCTTCACTGCAGCAAAAGTTTTAATGGAAGGAGAGTCATTTGAAATCTTATTTGAATGCCTGTGTTCCCTTGGGGCTTGAATTATTTGTTTCTTTTATTTGGCCAGTACTTTTTTTTTTTTTTAATCTGCAGTGCCTGGTTTGGGAGGGGACGATAATATGAGCCTGTTAGAAATAGAATATGTTAAAAACATTTATTCCCAAAGCCTGTTATTCCTTTATTTTATTTTCTGTATCTTTCTCTCTCCCTGACTACAGTGTGTCAGGATCATAATCTGAAGATTGAGAAAGGAGAGGGATGTGGTGGGGGAGCCTGGGATCTGGGAGAGGGTATTAGCTCTGCCCTTTGGAGGGGCAGGGAGCCCTGGGGAATCTGCGGACCCAGTTCAAACCCCAGCATGGCCACCACCATACCTTGTGGTCCTGGGAAAGGCAGACTCCATCCCGAAACCCAGTTTTCCTATTTGTGAGTTGGACTAGATCTCCAAGGGCCCTATTGCATTCTTTGGCACACAGGAAGGTTTGAGAGGCAGTAAGGCGTGGTCCTCAGCACCATGGGAAATGGAGCCAGACCATCCGGCTTCCGTTCCCAGCTCTGCCACTGACCAGCTCTGTGATCCTGGCAAACTACTCTGAGATGCCTTGGATTTTCCATCAGAAAATGGGGAAAATGCCAGTGCCCCCTGCACAGGGGTCGCATGAAAATGTAGGGAGATGGTGCGTGGAAGATGCCTAGACAGCCAGCCCTTGGCACATAGGAGCTGTCAGAGAGGCTCCTAGGTCAAGCAGTGTCTGCATTTCAGAAGGGGAATGGCCTTTCTGAGGTCACACGCGATTTAGTACAGGGCCAGGATATCTTCCTACCTCTTTCTACCGGTTCGGCTCTTGTTAGGGCTTGAACAGGGCTGTAGATGGAAGGCCCCAGAGAAGGAAGAGGTGAGGTAGGGGCTCCCTGATTTCCCTTCCTGTGCCCTCCCCCCGCACCACCTGCTCTGCCCACACAGCTGCATTGCTGCCCCATACCCTTGGGCCCTTGGAGCTCCTCCCACCCGTGGCCCTCCTCATTCCCACCTCTCAAGGGGACATGGGCCTGGCAGGCCACGGCCAATGCCAAACTCACAGGGACATAACCAGGTGGCCAAGGCAGTGAGCCTGAGCGCAGGGCTGGGCCCTCCCTTGCCGCCTCTCATTTGGTTTAGTTTTCTGGCCCGTAGTCATCACACTGACGCCAGTTTTCCTTCCAGTGATGACTCCAGCTGCTGGGTCCTGAGCACAGCCCTGGCAGCGTGTGAAGTGCGTTCTAGACCTCATCATGTCCTTTAACCCTCACTGCTGTCCCACAGGCTGGTGCTGGGATCTGCCCACGCCCTGCAGCTGGAAGGGATGGGTCTGCTCGCCAGGAGTGGGGCCGAGGGCATGGCCTTGGAGCCTGACCCTGGTTTTACCCCAGCTGGGAGGCTGGCCACTTGCCTGGCCTCCCTGGACACCAATGGCCCTCTCTGTAGGGGACAGGTGGTTGGATGAGATGCCTGCTGAGGTCTGGCCCAGTCTGACGTCTGTGGCTGTGGCCAGCAGCATCTCTGTGGTGCTGGGGAGGTGTGAGCGGTATCTTGAAGGTGGCTTTAAGTTTGGGAGGTTCGGGAAGAGCAGTAAAGGCATGATACTGGGACTGAGCCCAGTAGGAGTCTGGGAGGCAGGTCGGGCTGGAGAAGCGGGGCAGGGCCTGCGGTGGGCTCAGCTGCCCTCAGTAATAGGAGCAGCGAGGACAGCGACCATCATGGCTGCTATTTCCAGAGTGCCTGGTGTCTGCTAGGCATGATATATATGATTTCCAGTGCTCACAACTCCATATGGTTGGAGTTCTTTCCCCCATTTTCTAGATGAGGCCACAGGCTCAGAGAGGGTAAGTACCTGGCTCCATGTCACACGGCGAGTTGGAGACTGAGGTGGGATCTGCCCGGGTCCTTCTAGCAGACCAGAGGGGATTGTTCTGAGGGTGGTGGGGGATCTGCGACCCTGGAGCTGTTCCCTGTGTCCCATGGGGAGCTCTCATGCCCAGGGGGTGTTGGCAAACAGAGCTGGGCGCTAAATAAGCCCCCACTTAGTGTCAAATGGAAATCGCGGCTCTGCCGTCGGTGCCAGTTCTTAATGTCACTTATCCCAAGCGAGCTTTCAATTTTCAGCGACAGCAGTCTTCTCATTTGGTCTCCGCCACTCTGGTTTTGTGATGGGAACAATGGCAGTGGCAGATGGGGAGCAACGACTCCATTTTCTTGTAATGTCCCCAGTCGCAGGCAGGGAAGGCACCATCTGGAAGGAGAAGGTCAGATCATTAAAAAAATACATAGGAATAAATTGCCAGGACTTGATGGGCTGTGGGTGTTCGGGGAGGAAAGAGAGGAGCTGAGCTCTGGGCGCCCTGGTGACGGGGGCTAGGGCGGGGAGATGCTCGCTCACCCAGCTCCTGCAGGCTGTGGGGTGAGGAACTGGGGGTCCAGACCAGAGCTCTTGTCTGGTAGAGGTGAGGATCTGCTTGATTGTAAGTTCCTTGAGAGCAGGGACAAGCTCTCAAATCTGGTCTATCTTTATTTGCTGCCCAGGGGCTTGTCCAAGAGGCGGCGTGGTGAGCCCCGGCACACTAGGAGAGGCTAGGAGAGCTGCGCTGCCCCGGGACGAGCTGCGTTGCAGGCACCGTGCAAGGTGCCCCCGTGGGTTAGTTCCTTGGCACCTGGGACTTGCCCTGCTTTCCCCTTTCCTCTGCTGGCCAGTGTGGAGTGTGGATGGAAGGACCTGTTTCCCATGATGGCTGTGATGCAGTGAGGCAGTGTGGAAACTGTGAGGTGGGGGCACGTAGAAGTGTCTGTTATGGCAATGTGTGCACCCTGTGCGGTCGTGCCCTTTCCCTGAGGGCCTCTTATGTTGGTCTTTCCTCCCTGGTCGCAGGGATCAGGTCTTACGTAACTGCTTCCAGGGCCCAGCAGGGTAGAGGGCCGGACATGGAGGACGACGGCTCTGGGCCCACTTTGGGAGTGAGTTCACCGCTCAGTGACTCAGGCCGGAGGGTGTGAGCGCGCTGGGTGCTGGCGCTTTCACATCGTCATGCCTGACATTTGGGAATGTCTTTCACTTCTCAAATAGCATCTCACCTGCCACCTCATTCCAGCTCCTCCTGCTGTGCTGGCGTTCAGATGCCACCTCTCTCGGGCAGTGATGGCCTGCGGCTGCCCTCAGGGTGGTCCTTCCTCACTCACGTCCAGCCCTTCGCTCTGACCTGGCAGGATCTCTTCGATGAAAGCGAGTCAGATTAATGTTCATGTCAGGGGTACATCTGACAAACCTGGAAAATGAAGCTCTGAGAAAAGAGACTTTTTGTTCATGTCCCTGAATGTACTGATGGTCCGTGGTGGGTCCAGCGCTGCGTGAGTGGGTTGGGTGAGGTGTAGAAGGAAATAGGGTGGGAGGTTTCGGCCTTCACAGAACACTGGCATGGTGGGGAGCCCTACTTCCATGTGCGCACACACACACGCGTGCACACATGCACATGTGCACGCACACAAAGGAAGAAGAGCCACACTGGTGGAGGAGCAGGGAGTAGCCCTCAGAGGTGTGATACCCTCCGATGGGCTGAGGTGGTATGAGGCCAGGGCATGGAGACATGGGCGGTGCAGGCCTCTCTAAGAAGGAGAGGAACCAGCCCTGGGGAGCTGAAGGGTAGAGTTCCGGACAGAGGGAACCTCCGGGCCCGTCCCAGTGAGGTTGCTGAGCACAGTCCAGCTCAGTGGAGCTGGTGGCCGAGGGAGGAGGCCGGGGAGGGAAGGGGCCTTCGCAGCTCTTCCAGGAGAGTTTGGATCTTATTCTGGGCGGACTGGGACTCCACTGATGTTTCCAAGCAGGGGAACGGTGAGGCCAGATGTAAGTTTTACATCTGGATGGGCCTGGCTGCTGAGTGAAGACGACTGTAGTGTCAGGGGGCCCTGGTGTGGCCAGCGGGCACTCTCAGGCTGAGCTGGCCCCTCCTCGGGGAGAGGCAGGCTGGCTGTAGGTCCCAGCTTCCTCTCTGTCACGGAGAAGGGCGTTGCAACACAGCGGTTCAGTCTGTGACCTGCCCTTGTGGCTCTGGAGCTCTGGGCACTCCTCAGCTTGGGGTCACTGCAGTAAGTGGCGTCTCTTCCTGGGGCCACCTGTCCATGTCTCTGGTTGCCTGCAGCAGAGCTACGCTAGCATCACTGGGCCCACAGGCCTTTGCGACGGAGCCTCGGTGGGCGTGGTTGCTGAAGGCTGCCTGGTCTAGTCCAGAGAATTCAGTCTTGGGTTTCAGACCTAGGCCTGAATCTGGGTGCTGCCCCCTAGCCATGGCTGTGGTCTGGCTGTGTTACCAAATCCCTGAGTGCCAGTGTCGTCCTCTGTGGGGTGAAAATAATGATTCTGACTATGCTCAGCAATTGTGAAGACTAAGCCAGGGCATAGACGGTGGCGCTCAGTGTGGTGCCTGATGTGTGGGCGCATAGTAGGTGGCGTCTTCCTCATGCCCATCCTTGCTGTGGGCTTCCTGGAAGGGAGTCCTCATAGGGAGCGTAAAGGAGGAAGGGATCCTCCACAGGGAGAATTCTTCAGAACAGATGGTGGTTTATTCCTCCCTCTTTCCTCTCATTCATTCTTTCCAGCCTTGTTTTCTGAGCACTATGTGCCTTGCAGTGTGCTGGGTGTCAGGGGGACAGTGGTGAATGAGACAGTGCAGACCCCCACTGACTACAGCTTTGATATTAGAGACTTATGGAAATGAACCACAGATGATTTTAGATCGTTATGAAGGCTGTGAGGAAAGTAAGACAGGGTCTTTAGAGTGATTCCTGAGAGAAGGGGCCACTGTAGTCAGGGTAGTCAGGGAGGACTTCTCGGAGGAGGGGACGTGTGAGCAGAGCCCCAAGCCGTGTAAAGGAGCCTCCACAAAGAACGAGGTTTAGCAGATGCTCTTTAGCACGGTGATCTCCCGTGGTGAGTCCTGGGTCTGGGATCAGGTTAGGCATGTGTACTTGTAACAGGTCCCTGGGAGCTTTGAAGCACAGCTAGGGTGGGCAAACTGGAGGCAGGTGGCTTCCTAATTTCAGGATAGTCTTGAAGGAAGCAGGAGTGTAATTCTCCCGCATTTCCATCACCACCACGGTCAAGTGTGAGTGCCGCAATGGCGGCCTCCTGTCCTCTGATCATTCATGGTCTCTCTCCTACTCTGCAGCAGAAATTCACGGCAACAGGGGTCTGTACTCTGTTCAGCATCTTAATATTTTTTTTTAAAAACCCTTTCACGTCTATTATTTCATTTGGTTCTCACAGCAACCACAGGACGAAGGCATTTCTAGCATTCCTATTTTCTAGGCAAAGAAATCAAGGCTCAGAGAGTTGGGGTGACTTGCACAGGGTTGTTCAGCAGTAGGATGGTCAAGCTGGGACCTTAAGTTTTTCAGCTCCCTGCCTGAGACCCTGGCCACGGCCTCACTCCTGAGGCTGGATTCCATCTCAGTCCGGCAGGAGTAGGGTGGGGAGTGACTGGATGGGGCCAGGCTTCTGGGGCCTGCAGCGGCTCCCTGGGGCTTGGAGGGCTCCTCATGGCCTGGTTGGTCCTTGGACTCTGACCAGCTCTACCCACCTCCTTCCTCTTGCTGTAGGGGAGGAGAACCAGCCAGGCTGGCTATGCCCGGATGAGGACAAGAAGAGCAAAGCCCCGTTCTGGTGCCCGATCCTGGCCTGCTGCATCCCTGCCTTCTCCTCCCGGGCACTCAGCCTGCAGGTGAGTGGAGCGGATCTTGCTGAGCCGACCTCGAAGGTGGCTGCGGCTCCCCCTCGCCTGGGAGAACCAGAGTTTCCAGGGAGCGCCCACAGCAGGGAAGGCTCAGGTTCCAGCTGCGGCTTCTAAATTCTTACTGACAGACTTGGTCAAGCCTTTTTGTTGCTTCGGGAATTAGCTTTCCCACCAAAAAAATGGAGGCGAATGACCACTGTGGGTCAAGTGAATGGAAAATTCCATTATTTTGAGATAATAAAACAGCAATGATCTCATCTGTTGATGGCATGGCTCCAGATCATGCCGAAGCGGCCGTGCCAGCCCCCGTGGGTTGGGTGCTTTGTGGTCCGCCAGGCAGGAGCCGGCTTTGGTGCAGGGATTGCCCTCATTGTGGGATGCTCCCTGATGTGCCATCAGGCCTCCCGTGTATTGAGCACTTGCTGTACCCCCTGGTTCTTTCCTGCCATTCTCTTATTTTAATATCTGTAAGAACCTTGCGAGTAGATGTTTCTCTATCCATTTCACAGATAAGGAAACTAAGGCTAAGACAGGTGCTATGATTTTCCAAAAAGGACACAGCGAGTAAGAATTTGAACCTTGCCCTGCCTGATCACAACACCCAGGGTCTTAACCATGAGGATGTTCAGCCCCTACGGGTTACCTGCCCTTATACCCTGTCCTAGCTCGCCCTCCATCTGGAGCAACTACTGCCTCCCCTTTCCCAGGGAGATGAGGTCGTCTCAGCTGCAGGGATGGGAGCACCAGCTGGGGACCCAGGCCCAGCTTGGTGAGCCCCAAGAGACGTACCGATTGGGCTGTAGACTGGGGATCTAAATAGCTGAAAGAACAAATCCTTGAGATGTGAGTTCATTTGTTCACTTGTCCATTCTGCATGTAATTTTTTGAGCACCTATTTTGTGCTAGACCCTGGGAATACAGTAGTGACTAAGACTTACAAGGTCCCAGCCCTTATGTAGCTTTGAATCCTAGCAGAGAGAGAGAGGCAAAAACCCAGCAAACCAAAGGAAATAGAAAAGAGTGAGGTGCATAACAAAGACATCAGGGCCACAATAGATACATGGGTGGGTTGAAGTTCAGAGATGGCCACTTGGAGGAGGTGGCGTTTAAACTGAGACCTGAATGGCAAGAAGGATTCAGCCCAGGGATGGGAACGATATTGCCAGTAGACAAACCTACTCAGAGGGTGCAGCAGGAACAGTGGGGGAAGCCAGGTGAGGCAGGAGGAGAGAGGGCGGGCCCCAAGGTCAGCTGGTGGGTGAGCTGGACCACACCAGCCTTGCAGGCTGGATCAGCTTTGGATTTCGTTCTCAGAACAGTGAGAAGCCTTGGAAACAGATGTTTCCCAAGCTGGGGACTAGCATGATTTGATTTATAATTTGCATTTTTTGGCTGGTGTGTGAGAGTGAATTGCAGATAAGAATGGATACTGGGACTGGGCGTGGTGGCTCATGCCTGTAATCCCAGCACTTTGGGAGGCTGAGGTGGGAGGGTCACTTGAGTCCAGGGGTTTGAGACCAGCCTGGGCAACATGGTAAGACCCCTATCTCTACAAAATAAAAAATAAAATTAGCCAGGTGTGGTGGCGCAAGCCTATAGTCCTAGTGACTTGGGAGGCTGAGGTGGGAGGATCGCTTGAGCCCAGGAGGTTGAGGCTGCAGTAAGCTGTGATTGCACCCCTGCACTCCAGCCTGGGGGACAGAGTGAGACCCTGTCTCAAATAAATAAGTAAATAATACAAAAGGAATGGATGTCAGCTGGGTGGGGTGGCTCACGTCTGTAATCCCAGCATTTTGGGAGGCCAAGGCAGGTGGATCACTTGAGGTCAGGAGTTCGAGACCAACCTGGCAAACAAGGTGAAACCCTGTCTCTACCAAAAATACAAAAATTAGCTGAGCTTGGTGGTGCACACCTGTAGTCCCAGCTACTGGAGAGGCTGAGGTGGAAAAATCACTTGAACCTGGGAGACAGAAGTTGCAGTGAACCGAAATCGTGCCACTGCATTCCAGCCTGGGTGACACAGTGAGCCCCTGTCTCAAAAAAAAAAAAAAAAAAAAAGAATGGATATAGAGGGAGCAGCTCAGAGCTCAGCTTAGGGTCCTGCTGAGACGTGACAAGATTTGATGTGGGCGGAGGCCAGGGCTGTGACTGGAGTAAGGCATCCTTGCCTCAGGCACAAAATTCTAGCAGATGTCAAAAATCTCAATAATTAAAATAAATACGGTTTTAATGCAGTGCTTAAATATAACCAAATCAGCAAATTTCTGCTTGTGGTTTGGTCACTCTTTTTGTCTCTTGATACACAAAGGGCCAGGATTAGGGTGAGGCGAGTGAGCCAGGGTTGTACAAGTGTAGGGTGAAGTTTTGTCTGTAAACTTTTAAGTAATTATTCATTGTGGATTTTTTGCATTAATATTGATTTGTCTTACTCTGTCTCTCTCTATATATTTTTTGTGACTGCATTTTTGGTGCCCTTTTAAATTTTGTACCCCAGCTAGGTGCCCTGTCTATCACCAGTGCCCCAGCCCTGGTGGAGGCCTTGGGCAAGGGAGGTGGGAACACGTTGGGGATATGTTGGGGTGGGACTGGCTTAACTGGTGATAGATGGGGTATGCCAGATTGGGGGTTACTTGTGGGCCCTGGGGCCTTGGGCTGGAGGCAGCGACCATGGAGTGGGGAGTAGCAGGGCCCACTGTGCCTGCGGCCAGCTTGGCCTTAGGGCATCCCTGCAGAAGGCTGGCCCTGGGTGACTTTTATGATGGGCATTGGATTCTCCTGTATCCCTCAGGGCCTTGGGTCTCTTGAGAGCACAGGATGCAGGCTGAGCCCTGACAGATCAGACCCCAGTGGTGGAGTCACAGACTGGCCACTGCCTCCAGGGCCTCCCCAAAAGAAACCCCCATCCAGGTGGGGAGCCTCTGCCACCTCAAACCTGGGGAACCAGGGCCCACGAACCTCCTCAGTGCGAGCTCTCAGGGCCCAGGAATATGTAGGCCAGAAACCTCAGTCCTGCTGGCCCCAGCTCACTGTCTCCTGAGGAGCACCGGGGCTAGTGGAGGGTGGTGAGTGACTCTCTGTGGTAAGGGGCCTGTGGAGCTCCCAGAAGCCAGAGCAGAGCCTGTCTGACCACACTTGCTAGGCCTCAAATTGCCATCCCACTCTGCCCACACCCTACTCCACCCCCTGCCAGTCCAGACACATGTGCCCCATCAGCTGTGTGCTGGCAGCCTGATGAATTAGGGCCTTGGAGTTCCAAGGCCCTGTCCAATTACTGCAGAAACAGATGTGAGTGTGTGAACCGCTGCCCAGGCCCCCTTCCAGCACACCACGTTTCCAGGTGGTCCTGGGGCAGGGGTGACTCCAGCTCTGGCTGGCCTCATGGCAACCAGTGGTCCAGACTATTTGTCTAGGGAGGGCTTGGGCTGGGCAGAGGGAGTTGCTGGCCACAGTGTAGACAGGGTCAGTACTCTTGTACCAGTGGACGAGGGTGTGTTGGGCTCTTTCCTTGAAGGGACCGGGGTGTTGGGGCGGGAGGCAGGAGTAGGTCTCTCGTCTGTGCTGACAGTGGCCTCTGCCCACACTGGGCCACACCAAGGCCTTCTGACTCAAGGGAATCGGCCGGGGGCGTGACAGAGCATCAGCAGGGGCCACCTGCCTTGGATTGAGTCCCAACAGTGTGACATCAGGAATGCTGCCTCAGCTCATGGTATCTTAAACTGGGGTGGTCACAGCACCTCCCTGACTGGGTCACCATGAGGAGTAAAGGATACAATTTGGGTCAGGTGCTTAGCCAGTTGCATGGGGTGTGCTCAGGGCTCAAGCAATGGAAGCGAATACCTGAGGACACCTTGGTCCCCGGGAAGGAAAGGACACCGGAGTCTGTTCTGTGGCATTTCTGAAGGCCTGACTACTGGGGTGTTGAAGGTTCTTCTTGGACCCCTGGCTCCATCCAAGGGGGAATGTTCTCCCTGGACGGGCAGCAGGTGGGCGGGGAGGGCTCAGCACAAACCCGTTTCCTTGATTGTCAGTCTCAGAGCCTGCCCGGGGACAGGGCCTTGGGGATGGGGCTGGGGGTGCTGCCTGCTCTGAGATGCTTTAAAACTCAAGCATCTTGGGAGCCCAGCCCCACAGGGAGTCTGTGGCCAGGCTTGCTTAGGCCAAAGCTCACCAGCCCATTGGGCTGTGTCTTGACCTTCACCGACCTCAGCCAGAACTGCTGTTGGCCATGTACCCTGTCTTCTGCTCATCCGTGATAGCTCCGCCCTCATAGCCTTGCTCCGATGGGGAAACGAGCTAAGGTGTGTGAAGTGCTGGAATATCCCATGGGAGGCCCTTGGTAAGCCTTAGCAGCTGCGGGGTAACTGGGTACCTGGCCCTGGGCCGGGTACTTTACACTTTCCCTCTCCAGTCCCCACGGCCATCCTGAGAGATTTCAGGGTCTCTGCTCTGTAGGTGAGGACCTGATTTGTTCAGTACCGTCCAGATGGTAACCACTGAGCTGGGGCTGGAGCCAGGTTGGCTGTACCTGAAGCTGCTTCCCTTCACAGCCTCGTGCTCCCCTCTTCTCTTCTGCATAGGGTACCTTGACTTCCCAGTTTCCTGGCATAGGCAAGACATTTAGGGCCAGGGCCTTGCCCATGAAGGAGCCATTTGAGTTTTCCCCACCATCTTCAACCTGGCTCTGTTGACTCAGCTGACATCAGGGCCTACTGGAGTTGCCATGGAAATGCCCGAGCAGGGGCTGCCGTGGCCTGCTTTCCACCAAGGGAGCACAGAGAGCATCAGCCCAGCAGAAAGGGCGTGCACCCTCAGCTAGATGCAGCCACCAGGAAGCAGAGAAGACGGAGCCCGGAGGCCAGGCTTAGTGAAGCCCCCTGCTCTGAATGTGGGGACCCCTGTTTTCAGCAGGCAGAACTGGGGTCCCAGAGTGCCAAGGCCTCTGGCGTGCAGCCAGGCTTCTGGGGTAAAATTCAACCAGAATAGAAGGAGACCTGAACCAGGAGTAGAAGGTTTGAATTCTAGCCCTGACTCTGCCACTAACATGCTGTGTGACCTTGAGCCAGGCACGCCTCCCTCTGACCTTTAAGTTGGCATCTGCTAAATGAGGAGGCTGGATGAGGTGACCTCTTAGGGCCCTTGCCCATGGCCATTAGAAATTTTGTTAGAATATTCTAACAATGGGTCCAGGGATGGCTGGGGCCTTCAGCACCAGCAGAGGGCAGCAGCTGCCTGGAAAAGAGCCCAGTGGTCGGCTGCATCCTCCCTCCAGCCAAGCGCTGTCTCCACTCTGTCTTCTCTTTCAGTGTGGCCCATGAGTGGGTCAGGCCATTTCCTAGAATTGCTGTCCTGGCCAGAGAGAGGGACTGGCCAGGTCTAGCTCAGGAGACAGGCCTCAGAAAGAGGCCACCCAACATGGGGTCTGGGGCAGCTGATTCAGGGGGAGTAGGCGGAAGGTGGTTACTGGTGATAGCGGTGACAGGCTGAGCCCTGGTTTCTGTGTGTGGCCCTCACAAGCTGCCCAGCCCTGCCGGTCACCTCCCCTGTGGTCTAGGGCAGTCACCTGCCCTCTGTGACCCTCGTTTCCCCGTCTGTAAAATAAGGAGGGGTGGGCATTAGTGGCTTTCAAGAAACCATATCTGGAAGCTGCTCAGTTTCAGAGACCCTGGGCTGATACAGAGCCTCCTGCAGGCCTCTTCTAGCCGGGAGGTTCTAGGAGAGGAAAAACAAGTGTGAGTGTGTAGGAACTGCCTGGAGAAGCAGGCACTTGTGAAGCATGTTGCTTTCCTGGTCCCCACCCACAGGGATTCTAATCCAGGGAGAGTTAGATGGGGCCCAGGAATCTGCCAAATATTGGCATCTGGGCACCTTGATGATTAACCTCACATGTACCATTTCTGTCTCTGCAGCTTGGGGCCCTGGTCCACAGTCCTGTCAACTGTCCCCTGCTGGGCTTCTCAGCGGTCAGCACCTCCCTTCCACAGGGCTACCTCTGGGTGAGTCACCCCCCTGCCCAGCTGGGCATTCTGGCCTCAGGACGGGAGTAGGAAGAGCAGTACCTGGGAGGGGGTGCTGGAGACAGCAGCTGCCTGCCTCATCTCATGCAGCTTCATCCAGCAAGGTCTTCCTGGGAACCTCTGGTGCCAGGCACTGTATATGGAGTTGGGAGGTGCAACCTCATCTGGGGCAACAGAAAACCAGGGAGCTAATAAGAGAATGTGCCTTTTGCAAATGGTGACAGGGCTGAGAAGGAAGTGAAAGGGGGAGCTGTGCAGAGGGCCTGGGTCTCAGGATCTTCGCCCCTGGAGTCAGGAGGCAGGGCTGGCTAGTGCCCTACTCATGCAGACATTCCAGCCCACCTTTCTATCCTTGGGCTTCCTGGCAAAGCCTCCCTTGATTCAAGTGAGGTACTCTCCACCATATTCCTTGTGCTGCAAATTGTGCGCTCTCATTGCTGCTCGCCGTCTGAGAGTGATTTGTTCCTCATCGTTTCCCCAGGATCTAGCACATGGTATATCCATCCATCCATCATCCATCCATCTATCCACCCACCTATCCATCTATCCATCTACCCACCCACCTACCTATCAATTTATCCATCCAACAAGAATATATATTTAATCCATCAATTTATTTATCTGTCCATCCACCCATCCACCCACCCATCCATTCATTCACCTATACAGCCTTCCATCTATCTGTCTATCATCTGTCCACCCATCCATCCATCCATCCATCTATCCATCCACCCAACAAGAATATGTTGAGTATGTATCTATCATATGCTAGACACAGAGGTAAAACAATGGTCAACACAGAGAAGGGCATTTTAAAGGGATGGAGTAGATGTTTACTTTATATTGGTTGAAATGCACCCTGCAGAGGAGGAAATAGAAAGCTGACTGAGTATTTAGCCCACCTTAGCTCCTTACCTGATTTCCTGTGGGCCCTGAAGCTAACTTGTTGCCATGGCAGCTGGGGGTAAATGACCTTTGTGACTGCAGGAGCGTTTGGGCAGGAGAAGGGATGTGTCTCTTAAAGGATGGGGTCCTTGGGAAAGCAGGTCCTCCTCTGCTCCCTCTTGTGGTTCCCACCTGATGGCCTCTCTGGGTCTCTGCTCCCAGGTCGGGGGTGGACAGGAAGGTGCAGGGGGCCAGGTGGAAATCTTTTCCTTGAACCGGCCCTCGCCCCGCACCGTCAAGTCCTTCCCACTGGCAGCCCCTGTGCTCTGCATGGAGTACATCCCAGAATTGGAGGAGGAGGCGGAGAGCAGAGATGAGAGCCGGACAGCTGCTGACCCCTCGGCCACAGTGCATCCAACCATCTGCCTCGGGCTCCAGGATGGCAGGTGAGGGGCCCAGAAGGAGGGGTGAGAGCAGCCTCTGCAGGGCTGGGCACTGGGTGGGGGCTGTTCCTGTAGCTTTCCAGATCTGCCTGTTGCCTGCCAACATTCTCTGCCCCTGGTCTCCAGGAAGGTAGGCACCAGAGCTGCCCAGTGTGGCAGCCAAAGTGTCGGCAGCTGCCTGCAGTGCAGTTGCCTGGCTCCTCCCAGGCAGCATGGCTGGTGGAGGTGGATGCTGGCTCTGCTGTCAGCCAGACCTGGGTTTGAATTTCAGCTCACCCACTTCCTTGCTCTGGGTCCTGGGCACCCATTTAACCTCTCTGAACCTCAGTTTCTCATCCGTAAAGTGGGGACCAGAATCCCCCCATGCAGGGCTGCCGTGAGAGCCCACCGAGACACAGCCACATGAGGCCTTCAGTTCACTTAGCTGTCATTGAATGTTCACCATATGTGGCCCCCATTCGCCTTGCTGGGCAGGGTGAGGGTTCCAGGGTATTTCCAGGTCAAGAGGTTACTACTGGCAGAGAGGGCTGCCCTCTGTAAGACATCTGGGGCTTTGTGAGTCAGCAAAACCCTGACTCAAAGCAAGGAGGCTCAGGGCAAGGTGTGGCCTGTGCAGGGTGGGTAGACCACCTCCCGTAGCGGAAAGGGAGAGGGAATGTTCATCCTGTGCACAGGGAGGTGAAGGTGAGGATCAGTGAAGATCTGAGGGGGGCTGTGCCCCGGGGAGTCTAGGGCCTGGCACTGCTGTGTCCTGTCCTCCCTGCGTCTCTGTGTACTCCACCCCTCCTAGAGAGAAGGAGATGAGATGAGAGCATGTTTCCTGAGCACCTACTGTGTGCTGCTCCGAGGTGAGCCTCATAGCCACTCCTCTGTAATGCAGAGGTCGTTCCCTCCCCTTTCCCACACAAGGAAACCGAGTAAGGAGCAAAAGCCAAGGTTACTGAAGTCAACTGGGAGCCACTCTAAGCTCCGCACAGTCCAGGCTTGGCCTACAGCCAAGGGCCCAGCCAGGGCCTGGACCTAGGTGGGGCCTTCCAGACCTTTCTTTTTACCCCCTAAAGAAACCACATGTTCATTAAATAATCTCCCTCCATTCTCCTGCTCCCCACCCCACCCCAGAAACCACTAATCTACTTTCTGTCTCTATGGGTTTGTCTCCTCAGGACACTGTATAAATGGACTCACACACTATGTATGTTCCATGTAAATGGCTCATACTCCATGTACATTTCATGTAAATGGACTCACACTATATATGTTTCAAGTGAATGACTCACGTGCTATGTACATTTCATGTGAATGGACTCACACTGTGCAAGTTTCATGTGCGTGACACACTGTACGTTTCATGTGAATGACTCACACGCTATGTACATTTCATGTGATTGCCACACACTATGTACATTTCATGTGAATGACTCACACGCTATGTACATTTCATGTGATTGCCACACACTATATACATTTCATGTGAATGACTCACATGCTATGTACATTTCATGTGAATGACACACACTGTGTACATTTCATGTGAATGACACACACTGTGTACATTTCATGTGAATGACTCATGCGCTATGTACATTTCATGTGAATGACACACTGTACATTTCATGTGAATGACTCATGCGCTATGTACATTTCATGTGAATGACACACTGTACATTTCATATGAATGACTCACTATGTACATTTCATGTGAATGACTTGCACGCTAGTACATTTCATGTGAATGGACTCACACTATGTATGTTTCATGTGATTGCCACACACTGTGTACATTTCATGTGAATGACACACACTGTGTATGTTTCATGTGAATGACTCACATGCTATGTACATTTCATGTGAATGACTCACATGCTATGTACATCTCGTGTGAATGACTCATGCACTATGTACATTTCATGTGAATGGACTCACACTATGCATGTTTCATGTGAGTGACACACTGTGCATTTCATGTGAATGACTCACACTATGTATATTTTATGTGAATGACTCACACTGGGTACATTTCATATGCATGGACTCACACTATGTATGCTTCATGTGATTGCCACATACTGTGTACATTTCATGTGAATGACTCACATGCTATGTACATTTCATGTGAATGACTCATGTGCTATGTACATTTCATGTGAATGACACACACTGTGTGCGTTTCATGTGAATGACTCACATACTATGTACATTTCATGTGAATGACTTGCACATTAGTACATTTCATGTAAATGGACTCATACTATGTATGTTTCGTGTGATTGTCACACACTATGTACATTTCATGTGAATGACTCACACGCTATGTACATTTCATGTGAATGACACACACTATGTACATTTCATGTGAATGACTCACACACTACGTTTCATGTGAATGACACTGTATGTTTCATGTGAATGACTCACACGCTATGTACATTTCATGTGAATGACTTGCATACTAGTATATTTCATGTGAATGGGCTCACACTGTATGTTTCATGTGAATGACTCACTATGTACGTTTCATGTGAATGACACTGTATGTTTCATGTGAATGACTCACACACTATGTACATTTCATGTGAATGACTTGCATACTAGTATATTTCATGTGAATGGGCTCACACTAGTATGTTTCATGTGAATGACTCACACGCTATGTATGTTTCATGTAAATGGACTCAGACGCTATGTGGCTTTTCCTGTCTGCTTCTCTTAGCATCACACCTACAGGATCCTTCTGTGTAGCATGTGTCAGTACTTTGTTCCTTTTATGGTGGTGAAGTAGGCATTGTTGCCCCATTTTACAGAGAGAACTGAGGCTTAGCAGTCCAGGGTCTGTCAGACTGGAATGTGGCATGTCTGGATTCGAACTCAGGTCCATGTGACTCTGAAAATAGCTCTCTCAGCACCTTTACTGTGCTGCCTCTGGAGCCTCCCTGAGTCCTCTTCGTGACAGAGGTCAGGGAGGGTACCATTCCAGAAAACCATGGAAACGTGAGCTCCCGCATTGTGGAGCTATGGCCTGGCCACACAGCAGAAAGGCATGGCTTAGAGGGAGCAGCTCCCTGGGGCCCTCTCCCTAGGAGGGCATGGGGGCAGTGAGCAGGTGGGAGTGCTCAGTGTGTCACTCAGACTGCTCAGACTGCTTCTCCGACCTCTCTCTGCAGCATCCTGCTCTATGGCAGTGTGGACACTGGCACCCAGTGCCTGGCGACCTGCAGGAGCCCAGGTCTGCAGCCTGTGCTCTGCCTGCGACACAGCCCCTTCCACCTGCTCGCTGGCCTGCAGGATGGGACCCTTGCTGCCTACCCTCGGACCAGCGGTGAGGACTGGGGGAAATGGGGGAAGGGGGGCAGTTCTGGATGCCAGCTGGGTGCCAGATTCTCTACCAAGAGAGGATACAGGAGGCTGGGCAGGGATGAATTGGGAAATCTTAGTGCTGAGGGCATTTGGAGATCCCTGAGCCCCACTGGGATTCAATGGGTGGCTCCTCCATACGTGAATACTTGCTGGAATAGGGTGCTCACTACCATGTGGGCAGTGAAACCTGTTGGCAGGAGACTCTAGCGGATAAGAGAGGTACTCGCAGGTCGGAGGGACCTGGCTTCCCGTTCAGGCTTTGCCCGATGACAGCTGGACAGCTGTATCCCTTGCTGCATGGTCTCTGTTCTTTGGTGCCTGGGGCTCTTCATGAGAATAAGGGCAGCGCCCACTGCTCATGGGTCCTGGAGGGTTAGACAACTCCATTAGGGCAAAGCACAGGGCCAGGCCCAGGGTGCACTCAGTGGAGTCAAATATTTCCGTCTGGATTGTTTTATTGAGTCATCCCTAGTACAGGTTATGATGTCAGGAGGGCAGGAGGGCCATGTTTGGGCTGCTGTGCTCCAGGGCAGGGGTAAAGTGCTTAATGCATGCACGTTATCTTAATTTTCATGCACCCCTTAAGAATTTCCTTTGCTTTACTGAGATGATGCTGACTGGGGACCGAACGCACCTTCTCCCCAGCCATGTGGATTGCTGTGGTCCCCATCCCCTGGGCTTGTTCAGCCCTGATTTGATGAAGGGGACTGAGCAGAGAGTGTAGCCACCCCCAGTCCCCTAGAAGGGACAGAGGAGCCTGAAGGCCCATGGCGTCTCTTCTCCCCTGCCTTTTCCGCCAGCCAGGCTATGATTGCTGCGTCATCACAGCCTGTTGCAGGGTTATAAACGGATATTTGTACTGAGCTAATTTTTTTTTTCCACTTGGCACTGTGTTGGTATTTTTAATTAGCTTTTGATAAGGCATTTATAGTTTTTAATTAAAGGGGGAAGAGAGAGGGAAAAAGCCCTTCTCACCGTCAGACCGAGTGTGCGTGTGAATGTAAATACGGGTTCAGATCTGCAAAGACGCATGAGGAGTTCTAGAGGGACCACTCCCGACTGGCTCCCACGGAACACTGAGCCCGGCCTGTGCCACCCTGGCACCCTGGTCCCCAGCTTGGGTCGCCTTTGGCCTGTTCCCTCTTACTGCTCGATTCGCCAGTTTGGGCACCTGGGTTGGAAGGAGGTGAGGCTGCCCTGACAAGGACCACAAATGGCAGATATGTAGAGTCGCGTATCCTAGAGGCTGGAACCCAGGGGTCCATGTTTGGATGGGTCATGTGCCCTCAGTAGGCACTAGGGAAGGGCCTTGCTCCCAGCTGCTTCAGGTGTTTCCTTGCCTATGGCTGCAGAACTTCAACTTCCGCGTGGTGTTCTCCCTGGCTGTGTGTCGGTGTGCAAATTTCCCTTTTTTTATGAGGACACAGATAATATTGGATTAGGGACCTGTCCCTCTCTAGTATGAACTCATCTTAACATCTGCAGTGACCTTACTTCCCAAGGAGGTCACATTCTGCGGTACTGGGTGCTGGGACCTTAACATACAGATGAGGGGGCACAGTTCACTCCAAAACAGAGGGCTTGGGGTCTACCCATTGGCTTCTAGCCTGGGGTTGGAGCCTGTTAGTTTGTCAGGACCAAAAGGGCCACTGGGGACCATTGAACCCCACGCCCTCATTTTCTGGATGGGAGCAGACTGTCCAGAGCCCCCTGACTGAGCTGAACCTGCACCCAGTACCCTGCCTCCCAGACTAGAGCTCTCTGCAGACGTGAGGGGGCTTTGGCTTGTCCAGGTAGAGTGGAGGCCACGAGGCCTGAAGGCTGAGATGTTCTACCAGCTTTCCTGCCTTGCAAACATGTGTACACCAAATGCTTACTGAGAACGTACTATATGCCATGGACACAGTGGCAAGCAAAATGGACAAACTGCCTGCCCTCATGGAGCTTACAGTCTATAGAGGGAGAGAGAATCGGTTAGTAAACAAGCAGAGGTATAAGATTATACATGGTGCCGAGGGCTCCTACGGGAAGGAATGAGTGTTGTGTAACAGCCTCACTACCCAAGTATGGGGCGGGGTGTGCCGCAAAGGCCTCCCTGAGGAGGGGGATCCTGAGGCTAAGATCTTAAGAAGTCAGGCAAGTGGAGAGTTGGGGGAATGGTGTTCTCAGCAGAGGGAACAGTACATGCAAAGGCCCGAAGGCAGGAGAATGCTTGATCTGGTGGGGGAAGCCGGAGAGGAGGCTGTTTTGCTGGACAACTGGAAGATGAAGTGGCACTAGGCGTGAGCCAGGGGCAGACAGAGCTGTTTGTGAGGGCCTCCAACTTGTCTCAGTGTGTCAGGGAGTAGAGAGGCATGTTAGAGGTGGCTGAGCACTGGGCTCCCTCTGGCTGGTAGACAGGAGGGGAGGCAGGTTGGCTGGCTGAGAGGCTGAGGCAGCCACCTGGACAGGTGAATTTGGTGGTCATGCTCTCTCTGGGTGTCCAGTTTGGCTGTGGCCAAGAGGCCCCTGAGAAAGGGCTTGCCTTACCTGGTATCCCCACCCGTACCCGGTGTTATCTTTCAGAGGTGGCCCAGGCAGGCAGCTGGGTTCTCAGGACCTGCTACACGGTACGGGGTGGGTGGGATTCGCCTCCATCACCTTCTACCTGGATTACATGCAGCCGGGTCTGGAATCATCCTCCTGGTCTGTGACCAGCTGTGGGACTGGCATCAGCTTGGCCCTCATCCAGATTCACTGAGGCCTTGGATACCCCTCAGATACCCCCAGCCATCCCAGCGGCAGAGCCAGGGCTTGGAACTGCACCTGCATCAACCTGGCAGGCTCTGTATCAACCTCAGAACCCACTGTGGCGGCCCTGGTGGTGTGGAGGGTCCAGGGATTGTGAAAATCTAGACCCCTCATCTTCATCCAGAAGCAGGTACTCCATGAAGTATTTGCTGGTGTTTGAAGTCACATGGTCACTGTCCTGCCGGGTTAGGCTGAGACCAAGACTGGCATTCCTGCTAAAACTGGCATTCCTGGCCATGCTTTGGCTTATTGGAGAAGGACAGGACCAGACACAAATAGGTCTGTAGGACAGAACCTACAGAACCAGTAGCTGAGGGTTGACTGTCCAGACTCCAGAGTGACCAGGCCACGTGGAGGAATGGACTGGCAGAGCCTCAGCGTCCCACCTGCAGCTGAGAGATGGGGAAACTGAGGCGAGAGTAGTGTGGCCATGGCAGTCACTCTGCTGCCCTCAGGAGCATCTGCTTGTTCTCATTCATTGTATCGCTCATTCATTTGCTCAATAAGCCAGTGCCCCTGAGGTGTCAGGTACACAGCAGGGTGCTGGGGCCCGGAGCTGAGCCACGTGGCCACTGTCCTTGCCTGCGTGCTACTCGGGCTCTCCCGTGATACAGGGGCATTGCCAGGCCTTGGGTGGGGATGCTGGAGTATCCCTGGTTGGGCACTGGTGCCGTGGTTTGGAGTCCCCCCTTGAGGAGGTACATGGCATAATGGGTAAGGGATGGGTTGGGCATCAGGCTGCTGGGATTGAGTCCCCACTGCAAGAGGTTGGGCCTTTGCCCTCTAATCCTCAGTTTCCTCGCCCGTGAAATGGGGGTGTGGGCAGCCCCACTTCATAGAATGGTTGTGAAGAGTAGACATGGCAATTCCCACAGATGCCACGACAGAGCCTGGAGGATTGGCGCCTCCCACGTGTCCCTTTATCACAGTCATCATCATCACAGTCACTATTTACTGTCGCCCGGCAGGGGCTGCCCTTTGGGCCCCTCTCAGCTGTGATGACTCACTCTGGGACCTGCTTTCTGGCTCCAGCCCAATCTTGACGCCTGACGGAGACCCAGGGGCTTTCTCTGCTGCAGGCTGGGGGAGGAGGGATGCCAGCCTCCTGAAGCTGCCTTTGCTGAGACAGGACCTTCATCTCCCTTGTGCTGGCCGCGAGAGCTGGTGCCGGGCCCAGATGAATGGTCTGTCACGCAGGGGCAGGTGTGTGCGTGTGGGCCTGTGTTCCAGAACATGTGTGTGTACACACAGCCACTGGAGGGGAAGATGAAGAGGGGTGGAAAGTGCGGGGCTGCCATCAGGCAGGGGCGGCTCTCACCAGAGCTCACAGCAATTGGGTTTGTGATCTCAGAATCACGGTGTGTGAGAGCTGGAAAGAATCTTAGAGGACCAAGTTTTGTCCTCATGGTGCAGATGGGAAAACTGAGTCCCAGCAAGGGGAAGTCTCTTGTTCAGGATCCCACCATGGGCCCTCTAATCAGGGACTCCTGTCCAGTGTCCTTTATGAGCTTTTTTTTTTTTTTTTTTTGGAGACAGAGTCTCACTCTGTCGCCCAGGCTAGAGTGCAGTGGCGCTCCACTGCAACCTCTGCCTCCCGGGTTCAAACAATTCTCCTGCCTCAGCCTCCCAAGTGGCTGGGATTACAGGTGCACACCACCATGCCCAGCTAATTTTTTTATTTTTAGTAGAGACAGGGTTTCACCATGTTGGCCAGGCTGGTCTTGAACTCCCAACCTCAGGTGATCCACCTGCCTCGGCCTCCCGAAGTGTTGGGATTACAGGTGTGAGCCACTGTACCCGGCCTTTGTGAGCTTTTTGACCTAACAGTATTAGCATTATTAAATTTCATCACAGTTCATCATTCTGCCCTGGAGTCAGGACTTCTTAGAGGATTTCTGGAGACTCGCCGCAAATGCAGGAACGGCATTCATGTAGTCCTCAGGGTTTGACCCTAGCTCCTACCCTAGGCTGCCACAACGAGGCTCTGTTCCAGGGGAGTGGATGCAGGGGCTCCGGTGGCTATCACTGCTGGATAGAACCTCACTTTCCAGTTTTGGGAGGTGTTTCCTCACCATCCCTAGCTGCTTTGTCCCTGGGAGGGGTCCCAGCCCCCATCTCAGCCATAGCAGCCTAATTAGACTCCAGCTTCCAGCCACGAACACTACTCACCTCTGGCCACTGGGGGGTGCTCAAAGCCTTGCATTTTCTTGGCTCCAGCCCTGGTGGAGGCCTGGCCACCTTCAGGTCACTCGCCCCTCCTGGACACCAGGCCCAGCTGCACAGCCCTTCAGAAACCTGAGAGGGTAGTGTGGTTGGAGAAGCAGGCCAGGCCCAGAGTCAGACAGAGCCAAGCTCAAAACCCATTGTGCAAGGTCTTAGCTCCACAGGTCACTGCTGTCACGTTGGTTAAGTGGATTCAACACTTGCTTCCACACACTGTTGTGCTGTGGCAAATGACATCAAACAGTAAGAGCCACGAGCATAGACTCCTTTGTAGCTGAGTGAATTGGGGTAGTTATTTAAACTCGCTATGTCTCAGTTGTCTCTGTTATGAACAGGGATAATAATAGTATCTACCACACAGGCTTGCTGGGAGTTAAGGAAGTAATTCAAGGAAGGAGGGCCTGGTGTGCGGATACAGAACGCTGTGTAAGAACTGCTGTCGAGGCCCCTGACTGTGTGCCCAGATAAATATTCTTGCATATTTTATTGATTCCCTGTAACATCCGGAGAAGTGCAGGTGTGGTTATCATGCCCAGTGTGCAGATGAGGGAAACTGAGGTCCAGAGAGGCGAAGCCCCCTGTCCAAGTTCACACAGAAGCTCTGGGGCTGAGGACTGCCCTGCTCTGACTGCTTCCCTTGTGCTCACGCTGGCTGGCTGGGCAGAGCGCTCTGTGTGCCTGGAAGTCGAGGGGAGTCCTTGTTCCCCTGCCTCTTAGCTGAGCTTGGAGTCTGCCCATTTTAAGTAGGGCATAAGGGCAGAAGGGGAACCTGTTTTATAGATGGGAAAGAGGAGGGGAGGGAGGGAAAACTGGGACCAGGAAAAGCATGGGATAAGACAGGGTACGGTAGGGAAGGACGGGGAGGGGGTGGGAATCTAGTTTGGCTCTTCTGACCACAGCCCAGCAGTGGCTTCCATCACGTACCCTGCGGCTCTTCCAGCTTTGGAGACAGCTGTGCCCCATTGTGCCACCAAGCAGCTGGCTCAGAGGGGAAGGGTCTGCCTGTGATGGGCTGCTCTGTATCAGGGACCCAGCGGAGGCCAGGTGGGGTAGCAGGGCATTGGCAGGCTCACAGCTGGCTGTGTCCTGTCTCTCAGTCCCCGCCACTGCTGCCTCTCTCTCCAGAGTGTGCCATGGCCCAGGCTGCTCCAGGCTGGGCCCCAGCTTCCCCTTCAACTCCCTTTACCTACCTGGCACCCTGACAAGACAGGGCAGCCACTAGGGTTCTGTGTGGCATCGGGTGTGACTTCTGAGAAAAAACAATCTCGGCACACGCTGCTTGGTTGCCAGAGAAAATGGTTCTTGGGTGAGCTCAGCATCCCGGGGGAGGGGAGGACCTGGCTTGGGCCAGGTTCCTAGGTCTGTTTGGTTTTCAGGGATGACAGACTGGAGATTTATTGTCTCTCAGAACATCCTCTGGATCAGGCACAGTGGCTCATGCCTGTAATCCCAGAACTTTGGGAGGCCGAGGCAGGTGGATCACTTGAAGTCAGGAGTTCGAGACCAGCCTGGCCAACATGGCGAAACCCTATGTCTACTTTAAATTAATCGGGCGTGGTGGTGGGCACCTATAATCTCAGTTACTTCGGAGGCTGAGGCAAGAGAATCGCTGGAATCCGGGGAGGCAGAGCGTGCAGTGAGCCAAGATTGTGCCACTGCAATCCAGCCTGGGAGGCAGAGCGAGACTCTGTCCAAAGAAAAAACAAACAAATAAACAAACAAAGAACAACCTCTACCTCACCTGGTAGCAGCGGTGTTTCTGGAGGAGGAAGAGATCTTGGTAAATCTGACAGAAGTGCCTTGGAGTCGGCCAGAAGATTCATGAGAAATCAAGATTCAGTCTGGATAAGCTACAGTGTCGGAAAAGTCTTCAGAGACAATTTTGTCAACTCCCCACCCCATTTTACACATGGGGAAACCAAGGCCTCTTGAAGGGTAGAGATGTGCTCAAGGTCCTTAGCAAGTTAGTAGTGGCAGAACCAGGGCTAGACCCCAAGTCTCCCAACTCTGGGTCCAGGACACTTTCCACCATATCATGCTGCCTCTTCTGAGAAGCCTCCCGGATTTCCTCCAGGGCAGAATTAGCTCCGTCCATCTCAGCAGTTCTCAAGACCCTGGTGCAGGCCTGCTCATTTGTGCTTGGCATATCATGTGATAACTGTTGATTAACCTGTTGGTTGCTCTGACCAGTGAAGGGCTTCCTTGAGGGTGGGGCCTGTGTCTGATTCCTTTCTGTCTTCCCAGCACCCAGTGCATGGCCTGGTGTGGAGTAGGTGCTTACTACACGAATGGGAGAGAGGGAAAGAGAGAGAGAGGCAGGGAAGGGAAGGGGGAAAGAGAATGGAGGGAGGGAGGAAGGAAGGGACGAATCTGAGAGTAGGTGTGGCCGGGTGTGGGAAATGAATGGTGGGAGTCGGAGGCAGATGGGGACAGCCACCATCCAGCTGGATGGAGAGAGAAAGGCCCTGGAGTGTGGGGAGAGGGTGTGTGGGGCCCCGCTGAGCCCCCTGCTGCTGGCCTGCGTTCCTGGGGGACCTGCTTGCCACTCCTGGCCCCTGACCTGCCTCCCCTCTCTCCCTGCAGGAGGTGTCCTGTGGGACCTGGAGAGCCCTCCCGTGTGCCTGACTGTGGGGCCTGGGCCTGTCCGCACCCTGTTGAGCCTGGAGGATGCTGTGTGGGCCAGCTGTGGGCCCCGGGTCTCTGTCCTGGAAGCCACCACCCTCCAGCCTCAGGTACTGCCCTATCCTTTGGCTTGTGGCCCTGGAGGCCTGCGTCCCTTTTGCTGACCCTTTCTTACGTCCACCCTGGCACTGCTTTCAGCTCCCAGTGGCATCTCAGGGATCGATTGGGCAGAGTTTGTCTGGAAGCAGAGGGGGCCAAGGTCCCAATTGGGCCTGATCTCTTCCTCTGCCACACATCGCCAAGGCTACCAAGAGCAGAAAGCGCCCAGCCGCACTGCACTGTGGCCTGGATCCTGAGTTGTGTTGGCTGCTGCTTGTGGAAGTGGGAGTGGGGTCCCTGTCCTTGGACTGATAGCCAGGACTTGTACCCACGGAGCCCGGGCCATGCTGAGGGTGTGGCCAGGGTGGATACAGCCATCCGCTGGGCTCTTCAAACCACATGGAGGGAGAGGCTGCCTGGGTCCTGCCTTGCCCTGTTTCCAGCACCGCCCACGCCTTGGCCCCCAGGATGAGGGACTGGTCTGGGGGGCTCGTCCCTGGCTCAGCCTAGGCCCATGCCTGTCTCTGATCAACAGCACTGCCCACTTACCTGACCACACCTGCAGTCCATCCTGGGCGGGAGACTCAGCATGGTTCCCCAAGAGGCATTTTGGTGATGTTTGATTTGTTTGGACTATCGATTGCAATGAGTCGCCACCTGGCCTGGAGTGGAACCCTCCCAGGGTGCTTCCTCATGAGGGGCATCTTCATTTGCCTACCTAGTTCTCTCTCATGCAGCTGTAAATCAGCTACTCAACAGCAGAAACACTAAGTGGAGTCCTGGGATCTTAAGAGCACAGATGATCAGGGCTGGGCTCCAGATGACACAACTCTCATTTGACAAAGGGGAAAACTGAGGCATGAGGCCTTATGAATGAGCTCTGAGACTGGGGGCTGAGTCTCAGGGATGTGGCCCGCTTCTTTCCCTGGCTTGCTGGAGCCAAACCAACCAGATCATCTTTCAGTTCTGCGGCTTACACCTGGGGCCTCTGTGCTGGCCCCCATGGGAGCACGAGGCTTCTAGTCTGTAATGGGAATAAGCGTCCCATTCCTGGAATCCTTTTCCTTACTGTATCAGTCGGGGTTCTCCAGAGGAACAGAACCAATGGGACATATGTGAGTGTGTGTATGTGCATGTATATGTATATACACGTACATAGGAAGAGATTCATTTATAGAGAGTCGGCTCATGGGGTGGTGGAGGCAGCAAAGCCCCAGCATCTATGGACAGCACGCTGGAGACACAGGCAAGCTGCCGGCATAGTTCAGTGTGAATACGGAGGCCTGGAAACCTGCGAGCTGGTGGTGTGCCTTCCGGTTCAAAAGCTGGCAGACCTGAGACTCAAAAGAGCTGATGCTTCAGTGTGATTCTGAAGGCAGGAAAGAACCAGTGGAAGGTAGTCAGGCAGGGAGCGAATTCTCCCCTCAGCCTTTTCCATTCAGTCTTCAGCAGATTGGGTGAGGCCCGCCCACACTGGGAGGGCCGTGTGCATGACTAAGCCTACCGTTCAGATGCTAATCTCATCCGGAGACACCCTCACAGACACACCCAGAGCCACGTTTAACCACATATCTGGGCTCCCGTGGCCTAGTCAAGTTGACACATAAAATTAATTCTCTCTCAAGGAGTAAGATGATGCTTGGGAGCCGTGGTACCCGGCCAGTGGCAGCCTGGGAGGTAACTGATCAGTGGCTCTTCCTGGGTGCTGGGAAGGGGAGGTGGAGTTACCCAGCCCAGCTCCTTAGACAGGAGGGACCCGCTGGCGGGACAGATGTGAGTGGCAGGGCCCCAGGGCACAGAGCTGCCCCTGTGAGCTGGGCCTGTGGAGCTCCTCCCAGGCTCTCCTGGCAGCTCAGGAGCACTTGAGACTTCAGGAGTGGGGAGGACTGGGGAGGCATCATTGAAGACAGCAGCCCCCCTGCCTGTGTCCCGGCCACTTCCAACTCTGGGTAGCTGGCACCCTGTCCCCTTAGAGGTGTGCAGTTGGAGAGCAGGCTGCTTCAGACGGGACCCTAGCTGTGCCCCTGCCAAGTGATGCGACTTTGAATAAGACATGGAGGCTTCCTGGGCCTCAGTTATTTCATCTGTAAAATGGGATGGTAACAGTACCAGTGGGGAGTTAGCAGAAGGACAAACTGAGAACATTCAAGTGAAAGGGGGAGGGCTGGATGAACATTATTTGCTGTCATTGTAATAATTTACCCATCTTAAATCTGCACTGCTGTGTATGTCGTTGATTTGGAAAATCAAGCTGCTCCCGGGGTCAGTGTCGTCAGTGGGTGTGGGGCATGGAGTCCACCCTGCAGGTCTGCCATCCTCCCGCCTCACCGGAAGACAGCCTTCCTCCTGCCGACAGCTGTCCAGGAGCATGGGACAGATGGTGAAGGGAAGGACAGGGGCCCGGGTCAGGCCCTGTCTGGCTTTCACCTGTTTTTGTCCCTTGCCAGCCATAGTGCAGTCCACTCCCAGCCCACAGAGCTCAGCTCTGGCGTGACCATCCTTGGGGCCCCAGTGGCCACCAGGCTATAGCCTGAGGCTGTGATTATTTAAGATTAGTTCTGGGTCAGCTGCTCTAAAGAAGGGTCTTTAGACCCTTAGATCAATATGGCCTTTCACCTGCTTTGCACACCTCAGGGGGCATCAGGAGGGCTGCTGACTGGAGGGAGGCGACATGGAGGAAGGGGTGGCCAGGGAGCCCCTGCAGCAGAGGCCAGCACGCGCCCCTGTCCGCAACCAGGAAAATGGAAAAGTTTCTGTTCGCTGCGCGGTGTGGGCAGCTTGCCTTCAGTACATACAATCATTTGGCACAGTAACAAGGTGATCGCCATGCATATTTAATAAGGCCATGCTCCTGCTGCTTGGAATACAGGGGAAGCCAGCTCCACCTTGGCGCTGGAGATCTGGAAATGGCTCCGTCTGGTTGCTGCTAACAACTGCTTGACCTGCTCCTGGGCTGCCCAGCTCCACGCTCACCACAGTTGCCACTGCATGGCCAGCCAGGCCTGGGGGAGCCGCCTGAAGCCTGGGCTGCTGCTGCTCCCTCACTGGCTGTGGTCTCATACGTGTGCCTAGGGCTCAGCACCTGTGGGCTGTGCCTCGCATGCGATGTCTGCAGCAGAACGCCTACCTTCAGAGGAAGGGCATTCCTTGCTGGCAGCCATGCAGCAGAATCTGCCCTAGGCTTGAGAAAACCCCCTATGGGGTTTGAGATTCTTGGAGCTGTTCAGTGCTCCAAGCCAGGAGATTCAGGCATGTGTTTTGGCCGAGGGTATGGCTGGCATGGCCCAGGACCAAATGTGAAAACACAGGGGCTTAATCTAGGACTGTGTTACCTCTAAGGGGCTTTTCTGATTCCTCCTACCCTCAGGAAGTAATCCAAACCAATGTATATTGAGCAATTCCTTTGGACCAGAAATAAGTTTTGCACTTTTCCTGTAGGATCTCATTTAATCTTCAAATCACGCTTTCAGATGAATACTATTATTCCCACTTTACAGATGAAACAGAGGCACAGAGAGGTTAAGTAACTTGCCCAAGGTCACACAGCTAGAAGAGGCAGGGTTGGGATTTGAACACAGGCATTCTGAACCCCTGTGCTTAACTCATCCACCTTGGTAGGCAGAAGGCTCAGTTTCCTTTGGACTGCCTGGGCCTCCAAAGCTTTCTGTCCATGTCAGATGTAACTCCCAGCAGCTCCTCTTGTTTCCATGAGCACGCCTTCCGGCCTGAGGACTGTGTTGTGTTCATCTTTGTTTCCACAGTGCCTGGATCACTGGCACCTAGCAGGGGCTCCCAATTCCAGGCCTTCTGTGTGAGGTGCTGGAGGCACAGAAATGAGCAAGGTGGGCTCAGCAGTCCAGGAGCTAGGAGTCCAGTGTGCAGAGACAGAGCTGGGACTGTCAGCTGCTGCCCAGTGTTGTGAGACCAGGGACAGGGAAAGCCCAGGGTAGGCGGGATCCCAGGGGAGGCGAGAGGGGCACCAGACCAAGCCGGAGGCAGGACAGGAGCAGGAGACGGTTGTCTGGAGGTCAGGATCCCCGGGCTCAGCTATGCAGGTGAGTTGGTGTGTGACTATGAAGGAAGGGGGAAGTGATGTTCTGGCCAGAAGAAAGCACCGCGAGCAATGCCTAGGCCAGAGGCAGCCTTCGAGTGGCCAGATGGCCTCCAGGGGTGGGGCGCCTGAGCTGAGGACTGCCTCCCTGAGGCCCACGTGGCCTGGACTCCGCGCCTTGTCCAGCTGGTCCCTGCTGGGCCGCCTTGACCTGTTTCATGCCACCATCCTCTGCAGAGCTGGCACCCGCGGTTGGTCTGTGGGTTTTATGCTTGCCCACCAACTGCTTATTCAGCTCCTTGATCCCAGCAGAGGCAGAAGCGAGGTCTGGTAAACAATAATGTTGCTCACCGGGGCCCGTGTCAACACCGCGTCCTCTGCGTTCATGATCTAGATCACACCGCCTTCAAAGTCTAATCCAGTCGTCTGGAGTTCATTTTAACCGATCGCTGGAGGGGGAAGCCGGCTGTGGGATGATTGTTGCATCTTAATTTAAAGGAACTTATTGGGAACAGGCTGATAGCAGGCCTGAGGCACACGGGGTGTGCTCTGCTGCGTGGAGGGCTGGTGCCCTGCAAGGCTGCTCCCTGACAAGGTGTGGGCTGGGGTCTCTGCCACCCTGGCCTGTGGGAGGACAACAGTAGTGACAGTGTGGGGCATTGGGGACCCAGCTGGGCTGTGAATACACATTATGCTATTGGATCTCCTCAAGGCTGAGGAGTGACCCGCTGGGCCCATTTTATAGATGGGGGTGTGGACTAGAAGCCAGGCCCTTTTGCTTTCAGTCTGCGGCCATGCTGGCCCCTTCCCACCACCAGGCCAAGCTCCTTCCCACCACCAGGCCTTCACCTCTGTTGTTCCCTCTGCCTGGAGCACTGCTCCCCTCCTGTGTGGCTCCTCTGTAGCTTGGGTCTCGGCTTAACTGCTGTCTCATCAGTGAAGCCACCCTGACTGCTCCAG